ATGAAATCTTCTGACTCCATCCCTTTATTGAACTCCAATAAATCAACTTTTACTCGGAAATCTCTGCCACTCCATAAGTCATCTCCTCTCTTGACCTCCTCTAATAATGAATTTTGAAGTTTTGTTGTATGTTCTCCTCATTACTGATTTCCACCCTATGGAAACGAATGAGATTCTCGACCCTTTTCTCCTCTTTGACTCTCCAAATCTTGATCGAGAGTAATTTTCCTTGGATCCGTAATCAATCTCTGCGAGCCTCAGATATAGTCGACGAATCTCTTGTTGTACATCTTCTCGGGTAGTTTCTGACATATATCTCCTTATTGCAATAGTTAAGGTTTAGATTTGTAGGAGTGTAAGAGAGTATTTAGAATAGGAAATAAAATGTTGGGCGTGGAGATGTGTATGAAAGCTAGAAGCCCAGAGGTATGACTAGGGTTAAGCTAGTTCTATTACCAAATAATACTAGAGTTAACCCAAAAAAGCAGGAAAATCAATATTATTGTTGAATTCAAATAGGAAAATTACAAACGACTCATGAAAAATTGAAATTACAATAATTGACAATACAACCCCAAGCTATGACTAGATCCCGAGGTGATAGTGGTGGTGGTCGGCGAAGATTTGGGCCTCCTGAGAGGTAATAAAGCGTCGTTGAAGAGTGAGATAGTGGAGCAATAGCAAAAGGGGAATGTGGTGGTGGTGGCGGCGATGCACAATGGTTGGAGAAGGGTGCAGGGATGGCTGGGACAAGGATGACAGTAATAGGGAGGGTTGTGGATCGTAGAAAAGCGGCGAGGGGGATGTCCTCGGGATGATAGCAGGAAGGCAAAGGGTTGGCGACAAAGGGCACAAAGGGCAAGGGAGCAAGGTAGTAGACAACACTAGGAAAACAATAGTGTGGCTATTTTTTGTTGGTTGAAGCAAATACTTCGGTGGCGGGGGAGTGAGAAGGTCGAGGATAATCACCATCACGGACAAGAAACAGCAAGAGCACCACTCATCATTGAATACAACCCTGAAAGGGAAAACTTTGACACTAATGTCTGCCCGAACAGAAATATGAGCCAAAATACTACTAAACATAAGAACATGAATCACATATATAAGTCTAATAACTAGGATTGGATCCCCCTATAGAAAGGAGGCACCAATTCCTCGTGGAAGAATCGATCAGCCCTACTGGGGCCTGGACCGATTAGTTCCGGACGAAGGAAATTTGCGTCAACAAGTCTATCTTATTTTCAACGCAACATTTTGACTTTAATTTTGAGCATCAAAAAAGTTTATCAAAGAAGATGTAGAGTTTTAATTTAAAAATCATTCAAATTCAATTATTTAGGTAGTATTTCGTCATTAAGATATGTGCAGTGTTCCATATTAAGCTTTAAAAGATCTCATTCTGCATGTTCTCATGTTTGCCTTGCAGATCTAGTTGCAATTTTTATGAGTTAAAATTTTATGGCGTTCAAAGCAGCATTGGCTTGCTTGCATTTGATCTACATGAGTGTTCAAATAGACAATACAAGGGAATTCCTTTGCCCTTAAACAGAAGCTCTTACTTGGCCATATTTATATGAAAAAATGACCAAAATGGTCAAACCATCCTTCTTGAGATGTCCTTTTAATCTCAAATCATGTAAAAGGTCACATTTAGTCCACAGGCTCTTTAAGTAGGGAAAAAAATAATCATGCCATCTAAACTGCTGAAAATTGAAGTTAATGGTGTTAAAAAATGATAATATTTTAAAAAATTATTTCATTTGAATCTTCTATTAAATCTAATTTCCTATATATTATTTTTGTGTGCCCAGCAACTAAATTCTCATTGAAAAGAAATGGGTTAAGATCATATAGGTGGAAAAGCAAATTAGAGTTTTATAATAAATAATTTTGTTTGGCATGTTAGACATCCTCATTTCAGTATAACAAAAATTTAGTTTAAACTTTGTTACAAGTAAATCAAGGTAGCAAAAATGTCAAAACTAAATTATCATAAAAATCAACTCGCTTCACAACATGTATGATCTCAATCCACTATTGCTATATGAGAAATTAGTTGTTGTGTATGATAAAATAAAGCAGAAAATTAGATTTATTAAAAAAAAATAAATAAAACTATATTTGTCTAAAATAAACTCATTTTAATTGCATTAACATCAATTTATGTTAGTTTAAACAGTATGACTATTTTTTCATTTTTTTTTAAAGTTTGAGAATTAAATCTGACTTTCTCACAAAATTTGTTATTACAATATTCTCTCACAAATATTTAGGGGACCAGTTATGTTGAATCCTTATTTATATGTTGCTACAATTTATGGTTCTAACAGTTACGGATACTTAGAGAAAATCCTATTTAAGCTTGTATGTGAGTTGTCAAGTTCCCAAGTTCAATTTTGAATACAAATCTATGACATATTTCACTTTTGAGTTGTAACTTTGTGCCTACATTATATTTTGATTTTTTTTCTTTTCTGTCACATTCATGTCCATAACTCCATTTAAATTTGGTGTTGAAGTTTGACTTTCTTACAAAATTGGGTATTAAAATAATCTCTCACAAATAGTTAACGGGCCATTTATGTTCTTTCCTTATTTATATGTTGCTGCAATTTATGGTTCCAAAAGTTACGGGTAGTTGGTGAAAATTTATTTATGCTTTGTATTTGAGTTGCCAAGTCCCCAAGTTCAATTTAGTGTTCAAATTTATGACATTTCACATTTTGAATTTTAATTTTGTGCCTATTTCTTTTATTTTGAATTGTTTTTCCTTCCTATCACATTCATGTCCATAACTTCATTTAAATTTTGTTCTCGTGCTCATTTATTAAGAATTCTGATAGCATCCAATTATCTCCCCCACATAGGAGGGAATATTGACATTTTTATGGATCTTTAACCACCAGACTTTAAAACGAAAATGGCTCTTCGATACATCCACCAGAGAATTGCAGCATGGTAGAGTTTCCCAGCAACGCAAGAAAGTCGTGCTGGTACTTAATTTATAGTGCAATGCTCCTTTCAACATTTAACCTTGCACACACTGCAGTTTCTTCAATGATGATGGCGGCAAGGTAACAAATGCAATTTTGTAGAGGCAAAAATTTTCATTTTAAAATCTCATTCATTTTCTTATTTTCCACTCTCTCTTTCCTTATGTATGTATGTATGTATTTATAAATGCATAATAAAAAGAGGAAAAATGAGAGAGGATTAGAGATAGACAGAAATAGAGGTGGGGACAGAAAGAGGAAGGGAATTAGGAATACAAAAAAAAAAATGTGTTTGAGAGAGAGTGAAAGGGTTACAGATAAAGTAGAAACTGGAAGGTCAACACTATGCACTCCACATTACTCACATCAGGCATCCCCGCTCACACATAAAAGCATGCGTTACTTCACCAAAATTTATGCTACTTCGCCATTTTTAGCCTCCTTTCACTCATGCACACGCCCTGCCACTGATGTAACTGCTAACAACCAAGAGCACCTCTTGCCCACATTTGTGACCTTCCTTCTTCCTACATGAGCCACTACACATCTGCCATAACCCCGCCAATCGGTGTCGCATCCCTCATAGCCTAACACAAGCCCACCAAATGCATGTCTGCATATGATCTCTAATATTAATCTATTAGTGTGCTTACTCCTATCAATGAAGTCAACACAGCTCATTGTGCCTTCTGTCGAACAAAAGTGCTTGCTCAATTGCATGGCGCTAATCATTGTCATGCAACATTTGTAAAATGAAATTCTTCAATTATCATTGTAAGCAAATGACACATACATTGCATTTACTCTTTGATCATATATATTGAGCCATCAACATAGCTTAACACTTGCTTCCCTCGCCAACTCTAAACTCTAAACGATGCATCCACTAAACCAAGTGCATACTACAAATTGAATGTAATTCTCATGTTCGTTCATTTCGTTGTCTATGTTCTTCCAAATTTTGTTATCATTACTAAGCTCATGTACTCTTGGTATGCATCATAGAGTGCATATCATGATCATTATGAAAGTATATACTATACTAAGACGAAGTTCTCATCAAGAAACTTAGATGCATCCTATTTTCAAAGCATCAAGAGGGAAATCATATAGTTCATATCCTGATCATTATTGATCATATCATGATGACCAAAGTATATTCCCATCATCAATCAAAAAATAGATCTCACCATAACATTTGTGAATACTTTCATCAAAGTTATCATAATCCTAATTGATCATATCATGCGATTTCATAAAAGTCATGGCCATCGTCATCTTTGTCATAATACCCATCAAAACCAACCCACTCTGATTAACCTTCTCTAAAATCTCATCTAGTCATGATCAACCTAAATATCTTCATGAAATATTCAATGCTAAATCAGCATGGTGAATTAAGAAAATAAAAGGTCTAAAGTTACTAAATCATCTAATTAATTCAATCTCAACGTCACTGGTCCCGCTATCAAAAAAGCCAAGCCACGATAGAAAAGTCTAATAGAATAGTCCAAATAGTTGAAATAAAGTTTCATGGCAATGAAAATAATGATAGTAATAAGGATGCCAAGGTCCTAAAGCACCAGAAAGCCTACTACTTTTCGTAGGCTTTAGAGTTTTTAATCAAAAGTCAAAAAAAATCAATTTGCATAATAAAGGGTCATTTACAAACACGCCACCCAATTCCTATAAATTTACATATCTAACACCAAAATATTACTTTTGATACTTATACCACCCAAATCTTTTCCATCACATCAAAAATACCACATTTTAACTTTTAAGAAGTGAAATACATTTTTTCCTGCATAGGCAAGGTGGTATGCATGTAAAAATTGAAGTTTAGATGTCAGATAGGCAAATACATAGGTATTGAATGGTATGTATGTATATCTTCCCAAAAAATCCCTACTTAATAAGGAAATTGTCGAACAAATTGGTGATGCTATAGAACTCGCAATTGTAGCAATGATGGTTGCCCATACTAATTACAAAACTCAGTACCTTCGAAGGAGTGCTTGTTATAGTGCAGACCGGATACGTCTTCGGAGTGGGCTTTGGATCGCACTCGTAGCATTCAGTTTTACCCTTAACATGGACAGTTACCTGCAAGGTGGTTAAAAGAAATAAATCTATTAAAATAACAATTAATGAACAAATCAAATTTGATATAAAGCACTAAAAACTATGAATCTGAGCTCAGAAATACATTTTCTTCTAATCCAATCTCAGACATAATGAGATGAAATCTACGAACTGATAAAAATTTTGATGATTGCTTGACAACATTTGCTCAGTAGGGTAGCAAAAGGAAACAAAGAAAAGTTTTGGACTGCAAAAAGTAAGTAAAGCTCCCTTAAAAACCTTAGAGATCAACAGAAGTGGATATACACAAGAAAACATTTGAAGCACCCGTTCTCATAATCTCAGAACTCACAACTAATCAATACAGAATGTACTTTCAAGCATTCATCATAAAAATCTCAGAATTCACAAATAAAACAACACAATATAATTTTATATCTAAAAGGCCCCTCAACAGTAAGATTTAGTGTTTGTGATCCAGCTCCAGAAGAATACCATAAGGTCCGCCAAAAAAATAGCACAACCTTGAGCAGTTGTTCCGGAGAAAATAGAAATCGTATGCAAAAAGAATTCATTCGAACCGAGCGGTAAAAAAAAATAGTGATCATTTCAGCCTTGATATTTTTTGGGCACACAAAAAATAAAAGGAAAATTACATTTCAAAGGGAAAAGCTTGTCCGACTTTTTCAAAAGGAAAAAAATCTATAAGACCTGCAAAATCTTTTAATAAATCCACTCGTACAACAATTCTACAATTAAATTTATAAGCAGATAGCCCAAACAGATGCCAAGTCAAATCAACATATTTGTTTTTGGCTTTTCATCCTACTGGTAAAGCAGCGCTCAGCTAACTAATTTATTTGATAGATGAAATGATCAAGAAAAGCAAACTGATGTTAGCATGTGTAACATCGAAAAGAAGAGAAAAAAAGCTGCAAGTTCAACACTATAATACAGCATCATCAAATGCATACCAACAATTGATTTCAACAATCCATATAGCATAGATTATTTTTAATATGATTTTATATCTAATTATTAGTGACTACGTGTTTCTTGTAACTAACCCAAGCATATGTGAAATTTTTATTTTTCTCACATAGTATAGCCTTTGTGTGGCCTTGGATATGAATTCTATAAATACCTAGTATATCATTTTTTTGGAAACAAAAGTAAATTAAATTCCTTTGATCATTTTTCTCTATTTTCTTTCCCTCTCCATCTCTCTTATGTTCCATGTGAGTTTTGGAGGAAGAACATAGAAATTTTTCCAGAGTGTGTCTGTCCGTTTCCTACTGCTGCCACTAACCTCAGATTGCTGCTACTTTTGCCATGCGCGAAGGATGATGCAGATAAATCTACTGCAAATTTCAGATAATCTATTGTTGCCCAAATTTGAATAAGGTTGAATCACAAAAAAAAATGAAAGCAGACAAATTGTTGATTTCCACAACTATAAGAAACATTACTCAATAAAGGAGAAAGATATTAGTAAGTAGAAGCGTGATTTGAATCTTGAGAAAGAACAAGGTAGATTGGAGTTACGAAACCCAAATTTCTACAGGAGTTCCAATCAATAAGTGGTGAACAGTGTTTATAATTTGCCTTATTCTTGCTCCTCTAATTATATAATTATTCTTATAAAGGATAATAATGGTACTATATGAAAAAAAAATGGAGTAAGTGTCCCACTTGAGAAAACATAGCATAGTTTAATAAATTAAATTGAGGGGCTACGTTTAAAATGATGGCATTGATTAATCTCATGGTCTCAAATCCAGCACAGAGAATGTAGATTGGAACTTCAAAAACTAAGGAAAATACTTCCATTTACACTTATTTTATCAAATATGTTATGATCCTACTGGTTTCATATACATTATTTGCAGTATAAAGTTGAACTATTTTCATGCACATATAGCCTAGTAAGACTATGTTTACTTGACTTAAAAAGCATTATTATTTACTTCTAGAATGACATAAATATCACAGAAGATCAATAATTTCTTACAGTACTTAGAACATGCAACAACGAAAACATTTGAAAAAAAAAGACTGGTGAGTGTGAAGATGAAGATTCCAACAAGATATTAAAAAATAAAACTCAAAAGAAAAAATATATATATTAAATAACAAAGGGGCCGAGGAATTTTAACCTGAATTTCCCTGAGCAAGCAATAATGTCAATTCCTGCCATTAGTTATTCCCACCATCTTTCACTAGTCACATAAAAAACCAATCAAATCTACTATTCTGCTAGCTTTAAAAAGCTCAACCCGAAAACATACTAATATTGTTGAATCTCACTTGATGGCAAAAGGAATCAATGGATAACCAAAGGCAAAGCAAGGACATACCCCACATGAATGAGCATGGATATTAAACCGCTGGTTCTTCTCCTTAACCTTAATCTTTCCTATGTATGGCCTTTTACAGCCCCCTTAGATTATGAGGAAGATAGACGAACCATGCTTAGTGAAACATTAACAGACGTGAGTATGTGACACGGGCACCGAAGCCACACCCTTAGCGGGATTACCAACAGAATTGCAGAACCATCCCCGGGATAGCAGAGCTATTCGCGATCGCTACAGACATAAGTCCAACCTTTTTTTTTTCCCCCTTTCCTGTTTCTTTCCAGATTTCATATTTTCTAATTAAATTATCTCCTATTACGAAACATTATATATATATTATATATATATATATATATATATAATATATATTGAAAGCCCAAATACTAATACTAATATATTAAATAAAAAGTAGGGTACATATAGATTTTATGGGAGATCCAAAAAATGACACCCAGCCCACACAAAAACAACCATATCAAATAGTTTCAAAAAAGAAAATACAGTCAATACATAAGAGATCTAAAAAAATAAAAACTAAAAGGTGCCAAAATAAGAGTATCAGGTAGCTGGAGAGCGACCCAATTTTGTCTTGTCTCTGTCTCTAGTTCTAGGGAAGGAGCCAGCTAATAAATTAATCAGATGAGTGTCATTGCCAGTAGTAACTAATGTATCATTCCCTAGCTCGAGTCGTCCTATGTTCTTCTTCTTCTTCCTCATGTAGACCTGTCATTACTCATCCGAGGATTGGCTCACCTAATCAGCAGAATTGTCTGAAGTGCGCAGAATGTGTAGGTTGTTAAATATTATAGACAACTACTTGTTATACCAGTTGATCTTCATTCGGGTGAAAGTGCACTCTCGTGTGTCTTGGCATGTAAGTGGGACTTCTTCAATAACGGTAAGTGGTATCAACACATTTGGATCTGTACATGTTCTTCATCTGGAACTGCAATGTTGGAAAGAGGATCGAATTGCACCTTCTCAGCAAGGATGGTGGATAGCTGATCTTCAGTGATATTCGGCATTAGATGATGATACAAGCGATAGCAAATATTAGAACTGTGGTCAAACATACTACAATGTGAGCAATAACGAGGATGTGGTTCGATTTCAACCTTTTGTCAATACCCGTTGTGAATAGTATCAATCCATATCTCATCTGGAGTTGGCTGAGTGATATATCCTCAATGAGTGATATCTCCTCAACTAATACACAAGCCACAGAAGGTCTGGTGACAGCAAGCGTAGGATTATCCACCTTGAGAAGCTTACCGTAAGTAGTTGCTAAAAATTAGAGGATTTCTATGTTGTACAGATGTAATTTTAACCCCGAAAACTTTATCCAAACAAGAATGATAGAGAGCTCTGCTTTTAGCTTACCGTAAGTAGTTGCTAAAAATTAGAGGATTTCTATGTTGTACAGATGTAATTTTAACCCCGAAAACTTTATCCAAACAAGAATGATAGAGAACTCTGCTTTTGGATCAAAACCGATAGTTTACTTCATAATTTTCATAAAACGATTGTCGATCTTGATAGTTTTTCGAGAGAAAATGCGAGTGTAATCGGCATCGTGAGATAGTTGAATAAGTATATGTCGACCGTTAAGTAGGTTAATGTGTCAACTGCCCAATAGTTTCATAGCATCAAACTATTTCCTAATGATCTCCAATTTTGGGTGACCATAAAGGAATTTCCCCACAAGGGCAAAACGCAAAGAGAACGCGAGAGTACCGGTTTACTTCTCTGTGAGAATAAGTGCAGGCTTTCCATTTTTTTCCAAGCTTTTTAATAAAATTGTGATCATCTCTAAAGCTGTCAAAACAGCTCGTGTTCGGCTCGTTCGTTAAGTAAACGAGCCAAACACGAACAAGTTTTTAAAACTAGAATTATAAACGAACCGAACACAAACAACTCTTTGTTCGCTCGTGTTCAGTTCATTTTGGTTTGAAATAAATTAATAATTAAAATAATACAATTATAATATATTTATATTAAAATACTATGATAAATTTAATGGAAAATTTTGAATTTTAAATTTCATAAAACTATTGTTAAAAAAATTATTATAAAATTTCTTAAATTTTTTTCAACCGTGATCTTGTGAGTCATGATGTAAGTGATAAGCCCTAATTCCATTATTTCGGCCGTGCTCTTCGACTTCTTCGTCAAACCTAAGCTCACTTAAGCTAGGCTCGTTTACAGCCCTAATCACCTCCACTTTCAAGAGCCTCGTGGAATGATTGCGGAACATTGCAGAACTTACCGATAGCAAAATCAGACTCTGAACCTGGAGGGGCACGAGTAGAAATGAGCAAGTCGCCGGCAAGGGCATTTGCATAAGAACGGAGCATCAAGGCCACCTCCTTGGCAATATGGTCACAGATAAAAGAGAAACAGTTTGGCGGGCTGCAAGAAGCAAGCAAACCGGGCGCTGTAGAGCGAGGAGTCGCGATGTCGTCGGCTAAGGGAGACGACTGTGAGAGAAAGCGTCGTCGTCAATGGAATCAAGCGACGACGGCAGTAGCGATCCTTGTCGACAATGGAGACAACTTGGAGCACTCGACTTCAACAGGAGAGAGACAAGGAGTTGCAGCTACGTGAACGTCGTCATGGGAAACGCCGAAGAGAAGCGATTAAGCCGATAGAATCACCGTTTCATTGTCTCCATCGTCTCTACTAGGGCAGCCATGGTATGGGAGACGCTGAAGATATATATATATATATATATAGTTGAAATTTCTTCAATATATATTATTAATATTACAATAAGCATAATAAAAAAAAATAAAAACAAAATAAAACAACTTGGAAGGAAAATAAATAAAGCAAAATAGAAAATACATAATCAGGGAACAAGGGAAAATATTAAGTAATAATAGTTGGAGATAGCCGTTATAATTTTAATATTCTCCCAAGTTGAAGCATAGATGTCAGTCATATTCAACTTAGACTTGAAGTCGTTGAACAAAGAACGAGGTAGATTCTTAGTGAGGATGTTAGCTAGTTGACCACTGGAGGGCACAGATGGAATGCAAATCTCCCCGAACTCATTTTTTTTTCCTTAATGAAGTATTGTCGATCTCCACATGTTTGATACATCATGTTGGACTGAATTGTAACAAATGTTGATTGCAGTCTTATTATCACATAGTAGCTATAGCGGGACAAAGGTTGGCATACGGAGTTCACGGAGTATGATGTGTAACCAAAGATCTTCACAGATTCACGAGGGCATAAATAGGAATTCAGTTTCAGCAATATTTAGGGCAATAAACTATTTCTTGCTTTTCCACATGACAAGATTGTCCTATACAAATGAGCAATACCTCGAGGTGAAACGACGATCATGAACTGATCATATCCAATCAGCATTTGTATACATCGCAATAGGTTGAGAGGTGTGGAGAAAAAAAAACCGAGCCCGTGTACTTTTGTAGTAGAGAAACTGGGGGACAACTTGGATGTGGTGCTCATAAGAATCATGCATGAATTGACTCATTCTTTCAACTGCCTAACATATGCCAGGGCGAGTATGAATGACATAGATTAGTTTTCCCACAAGGCGATTGTAATGAGTCTTGTTGGCAGACATCGCATTGGCAATGTCAAATAATATTTCATTAAGATTCATAGGAACAGCAACGGGTTTGCACAGAAGAAGGTTGCTCTCTGTTAGGAAATCAATCACATATTTGTGTTGAGACAGACAAATTCCCCGAGATTATCGAGCAACTTCCATGCTAAGAAGTATTGGAGAGATTCCAAGTTTCTCATCTCGAAGAACGAAGCAATGTTGGGAGATCATTGTCTGTAAGAACAATATCGTCAACATAGACAATACGGATTGCTATCAAATCATTAGAGGAATGTCAGAAAAAGGTGTGATCTAATTGAGTCTAAGTAAAACGATGGCCCACGAACACCTTAGTGAACTTGTCGAACTAAGCACTTGGGTATTGTTTTAGCCCATAGGGGACTTTCATAGCCTACACATTTGTTCTCTGGAGGCAATAAAATCAAAACCCGGAGGGAGAGACATATACACCTTTTTTGTCAGCACTTCATTCAAGTATGTCTTATTGACATCTAGTTAGAATAAAGATCAATCTAGATTCACCGCAAGTGATAACTGGACCTGAATAGTGTTTAACTTGGTTACTGGAGCAAATGTCTCCTCATAATCAATTTCATAGATCTAAGAGTATCATTTGGCAACCAATCTTGCCTTATTGCATTCAAAAGACCCGTTATAGTTAAACTTGGTGTTGAAAATTCATCGATACCCTACAGCTTTCTTACCTAGAGGAAGGTCCACGACGTCCACGTATGGTTCCGCTAAAGGGCATTAATCTCCTCCCATATGGTTGTTTTTCAAGCTAAATAGCAAGAGCAACCTCAATTGTAGCTGGGATCTGATGGTCCGTCAAGGCAATAGCAAATGCTCTGTGGGTCGGTGATAAACTGTGGAAAGAGACAGTTTCTCATAGAATAGAGGAAACATGTCTTATTGCGTACCTTACTCAGAGAACTCACAAAGGATGCCATCCGGAGTGGAGTCAAGGACCTGTAAGGGGGTAGCAGAATCCATAGTAGGGGCATTGGGATAAGTGCGTCGAATGTAGACACGGGCGGCGGGAGAGGGAGAAGGAGATTATGCATTCAACGGGACAGGGAACTCCTTAGGAGTAAAATCGGAGACAGTGTCAGGGAACTCAAGCTCCTCCTCACTAGAGGTCGAGCTAGAGAAATAGGGAACACTTTCAAAAAATGAGATATCAACACTCACATAGATTTTATTTGTGATTGGATCAAGACATTGATGCCTCTTTTGAGTTGCGGAGTAATACATTTTATAAATCTGGGATCAAGTTTACTCTGAGTAGGGGCAGTGTTCCGAACAAAGGCAATGCACACAAAAACCTTAGGATCTAATATGGAGAACTCAATTGGTGGGGAAACAAGACATCAGAATCGCTAAGGGGGTTCAGAACTTGTGAATTTTTTGATGGGACTCTATTAATGAGATAGGAGACAGTTAGAATAGCATCATTCAAAAAACGTTTTTGAGACATTACATTGAAATATAATAGAGCGAGCAACGTCAAAAAAGTGATGGTTTTTCCTCTCGACCGATCTTTTTGTTGAGAAGTGTCCATGCAAGAACTCTAGTGGAGGATGTAACTAACTAAAAATTCACTCAAAATAGAGTTGAAAAACTCATGACCAGTATCAATTCGAAAGACCTAAAGAGGAGATTTGAATTGAGTTAAGACAAAGGTGTAGAAGTTTCTGATGGTTACAACGACTTCTGATTTGTCTTTTAAAATGTAGGCCCACGTCATTCGAGTGTGGTCAACAATTAAGGTTAAGAACTACCGTTTATTAGTATAGCTGAGAGTGAGAGAGAGTACCCATAGGTAACTGTGAATGAAAATCATTTATTGTAGTTGGGAGTGCGAGAAGGACCTTATATGTCACTGTGAATGAAGGATAAGAAGCGAAGAGCGTGTAAGTGTGAGGTGGATAATGAACCCGGTGATGTTTGGCTAACTGACATGTCCCATAATTGAAGTTTGAGAGATATTTATTAGAAAGCATCAAAGGATACAAATCTTTCGAATATTGAAAGCTAGAATGCCTAAAATGACAATGTAACAACATAACGAGACATTCAATAACTCGAGATAATTTACAATTGTTAAATGTCATGTCCTCACTCTCTGTGTTCTCCTTTTAGACGTAGTAGAGTCTGACTATCCTTTTAGCAGTATCAATAATCCTCCCCGAAAAACTATTCTAAAAAACATAATCATCAAAAAAGAAATTAGCAACGCAATCAATATCAATTATTAACTTACTAATAGATAATAAGTTACATTGCAATCGGGGAACAGGTAAAACAGAATCTAGAGTTAGATCCGTTGTTAGCACAACCGGTCCTTTACCAGTAATAGGACAACAGGATCTATCGGCAATTTTGACGGTATTTTTTCCAGAGCACAGATAGTCAGTCGAGAAAACTTGCGAGCAGCTACTCATGTGATCCGTGGCACATGAATCAATAATGCAACGGTTAGAAGAATAATAAATTGCGACATAGCAAAGGCAGCACTAGAAACAGCAACAAAGGGAACGAACGACAGCAGTAAACAGCAAAAGAAGCCCGCGGATATGAGGTGTTGGCTGTTGGAACCGGTAGAGGAGGCCGGTGGTTGATGGATCTAAGGTAAGGCTCTAATACTATGTTGAAATTTGGAATAGACCAACACAAAATATTATTGTTAGGAAGGGTATTTAAACCTAATTACAATAAGCATAATAAAAGAAAGAAATAAAAACAGAATAAAATAACTTACAAAGAAAATAAAAACAAAATAAAGAAAAATAAGAAATACATAATATAAGAGTAAATATTAAGTTAATGGCTAGAGAGAGTCGTTAATTGTGTGGTTGTGTGGGTGTAGGTGTAGTGGTGCCTGTTTGGATTTTTCAATTTTTTATTTTTTTTTAAAATTGAGAGACTTTGTTTTTGTTTATACTCTTCGAAGTGATGTATCATTTCCCTTTGCAAGTGTCGAGTATGTAGCTCACTAGGAAGAGATGGAGGATCCCCTTCGCCATCTGCACCTCACGGACTTACTGTCGCTCAACCAGACAGTTGTTAATGTTGCTCCCACCAATTGTTTACATTAGAAAATAGCCCTATTTTCGTTTCTGATTCGTTGTCCTGTCGTCGATCGTGTCGATTATGAGCCGCCATCCATCTTCCCACTCACATTATCAATCCCACAACTTCTCCAACGTCGTTTTAGGTTTTATCACACATTCTAAGAGCCATAGAATGGTATCATCTGATATCAGAGATCGACAAACCATAAGTTTTAAGAATTTTGCCCTTTCTATACCTAAAACAAGAATCCATATAGCCTAACCTAGCACCACAACCAAATATTTTTTCCCTAAAACATCCACCTAGCCCTAGCCCTAACACTAAACCTAATCTTTCTTCTCCATCAAAACTTCAATTGGAATACCGAGACACCTTGCCGCCAAGAATAAACCCGCAAAAAAGTACTTAGGAGTTCATTATGAAGGACATGTAGTGAATAATCTTTCAACAGCAATAAATTCTTGCCGCTTTTGAGAGGAAACAACCCAGATAGGTCACTCGTAGCCACAATGATAACCCACCAAATCGAATGGATGAAATAAATCACTTCCACCAGACAATTTCCAGTAATGAAGAACTAATACCCCGACGATTTGACATGAAATATCATAAGAGAGACTGAGACTTTAGAGTGACTCCATACAGTGAAACGTGTATATGAGCACAACGATGCCCCATTAGACAGAATGATCATTAAATTAAAAAAGAGTGCATCTCTAAGGTGGGAAAACTTAAAACGCTTGCAACGGCAAGAGGGGAAATGTAAAATCACTACCTGGTACAAGATTAAACGAAAGATAAAGCAGAAGGGTCTATCAGCACATTACAGGAAGGATGCGTTCTTGAAACTTCACCACTTAACAACAGAAAGACATTTTTGCAGAGTACACTGCTGAATTCAAGCAACTCATATTGAAGTGCGAGCTGGTGGAGAACACCATAGCTCGATATCTGGAAAAACTAAAACCGTGCATTGCCAGCAAGATACAACCCTATTGGAAGTTGCGGAAAGTCCAGACCCTAACCCTGAATATGAAGAGACAACACAGCAGTATCAAATCTACGCAGCCTTTCAAATAGGGTTCAACCATCAAATCAAGCAGCTAGAGTACACCCAATGGAGCACTAAAGCCGACTTCACCAGAGAGCACTGCTAAATTCAAGCAACTAATATCGAAGTGTGAGCCGGTAGAGCTCGAGGAGAACATCATAGCTCGATATATGGAAGAAGTAAGATCGTATATTGAAAACATGGTACAATTACAACCCTATTGGAAGTTACAGGATGTCCAAACCCTAACCCTGACAATGAAGAGACTGCACAACGGTATCAGATCTACACTACCCTTCAAACAGAGTTCACCCATCGAATCAAGCAGCTAGAGTACACCCTGCAGAGCACCCAAGCAGATTTCACCAAAAGAGCAACCCATATAGAGTGGAGAAAAGGTAGTGAGACCATCAACACTCTTAGATATATATCGACCAAGAAATGTTTCAAGTGTCATGATTTTGAGCATATTACATCAAATTGCCCAAACAGAATAATTATATCTTTCATTAAACAACGAGCATTTAAAGAAATGGACAATGCATAAAACATTGAAAAAAGTGAAAATGCATAGAAGCATTAACTTCCAACTGATGAGAAAGAGATGTTAGTGATTCAAACTGAACCCATGAGAGAGACTCTAACATACATTCGTTATCCTAGAAAATAATGAGTACGAGGAGTCAATAGTCAATACCATAAAAGGGGCAGCCCATGTTGAAAGAGTTATCGAATATCTTAGATGATAATGTACCTTGTTGACTTCACTTTTGGTTGAGGTCTAGAAACTTCTTTAATAGCCTAGGTCTAGCCATAGGACTTTCCTATTGACTAGTCTTAGAAAATTAGAAAAGGTACCCCCACCATTAGAAATTCAAAACTCTTCTTTTTACTCAACTTGAAATTCCACATATTGATCTTAACCTCTAGCATTTAGTAGATAAGATCATTATAAGAGAATTCAAGAAGAATCCCTATAGGATTACTTGGCTTTAGGATTGACCATGGGTGTTGACTTGGAACTAGGGTACACCATATCTTCACAATACATTAATCCATGGTTCATTTAGAATGGATATCTATCCAATTCTATGTGAAATGCCTAACTTGGTCTTTTGCCCCTATGCACCTCCAAATTACCTAACTACACTTGGGACCCAAATTTGGCTAAAATTCCCAAATTTTGCCAAAATACCCAAAATTGAT